TGAAGCTTTGTGCTTCTGTAAAGATTGATAACCTTGGAAACCATATTCAGAGCCACTATGAGCTGGAATCTAAGAACAGCTAATTTGTACTAGAACACTAAATTGTACTTCTGAGGAATCTGTACCTGGGCCAAGAAGCAGTTGTTCCAACAGAGCATGGGAACACCGAATGTTTTAAAATTGGGAAAAGTGTGCGACAAGGTTGTGTTCTTTCACCATACTTGTTCAACCTGTATGCTGAGCAAATAATACGAGAAGCTGGGTCCTATGAAGAAAAACGTGGCATCAGGACTGGAGGAAGACTCATTAACAACCTGCGATATGCAGATGATACAACCTTGCTTGCTGAAAGTGAAGAGGACTTGAAACATTTACTGATGAAGATCAAAGAGCACAACCTTTGATATGGGTTGCATCTCAAAGTCAGAAAAACAAAAATCCTCACCACTGGACCAATAAACAACATTCTTATCAACGGAGAAAAAAGATTGAAGTTGTCAAGGACATCATTCTTCTTGGATCAACTATCAACACTCATGGAAGCAGGAGTCAAGAGATCAGACGACGTATTGCATTAGGCAAATCTGCTGCACAGGAACTTTTTAAAGCGTTGAAGAGCAGAGATGTCAGCGTGAGGACTAAGGTGCGCCTGACCCAGGCCATGGTGTTTTCCATAGCCTCATATGGATGCGAAAGCTGGACAGTGAATAAGGAACACTGTAGAAGAATCGATGCCTTTGAGTTGTGGTGTTGGAGGAGAATACTAAAAGTGCCATGGACTGCCAAAAGAACCAATAGATCTGTTTTGGAAGAAGTGCAGCCAGAGTGCTCCTTGGAGGCCAACATGGCTAAACTTCGTCTCTCATACTTTGGACATATGTCAGGAGAGAACAGTCGCTGGAGAAGGATGTCATGCTGGGTAAGACGGAGGGTCAGAGAAAAAGAGGAAGACCTCCAACGAGATGGATTGGCCAGGTGGCAGCATTGATGGCGTCAAGTGTGGCAGCTGTGGTGGGGTTGGCCCAGGAACGGACATTGTTTCATTCTGCTGTGCATGGGGTCGCTATGAGTCGGTTCCGACTCGATGGCACCTGACAACAACATGAGCTGGAATCAGTTAGTTGGCAGTGGGTTTTAGGGACCACTCAGAGGGTAAATACAACAAGCTGGTGCTACTGCAATGTAGTAAGTAAATGATCATTCCATACAGCCACCCCATCTTAGTCTTCATTTAAAGCACACCACACCCGCCCCTCAGCTGTGTCCCCTCTACCCATCCGCATCCATCCTAATATTATGTCTACCTCAGGGACCCCAAGTCCTGGTGTAGCGCTGTGGGTTAATGCGCCAGACTACAAAGCCATTTGAACTGCAAGGTCTGTGGTTCAAGCTCACCAGCTGCTCCTCGGAAACCCTATACCGGGTCGCTATGGGTCAGAATCGACTCGATGGCACTTAAAAACAACAACAGGGACCCCATCTCCATCTTTTTCTAATGAACTCACTTCCTCAGTTCTACCCACGGTCACCATTCTGATCTAGCCTAGGCTAATTCTTGCTGAAGCTTCCTCACTGGCCTCCCCACTTTCTCACTTGCCCCTCAGACTGTTTCCACACCAGACAAAAGACCTGTTAACAACAAAGAAGGCCCAGCTTCTTAAAGTCCTATTGCACCCTAAATCCTCCACTAAGTATAAAGAATTTGAGGTTCTGGGGATGATTGTGGCTCAGTCTCACAGACAAGCATGAAAAACCATCCATATCTCTTCCTATTTCCTGTACTAGATACGGTCCACTAGTCTGGGTACGTGGTCACAGAACCCAACAGTGACGTCTGGATGACATTGGGCAGTGGCCAGTCCTTCCTAGTCTCAGTCTCCGGCTCCGTAAAGGGTAAAAATACCCAGGATTCTTTTCCTGAAAAGGCCTTAAGGACGTACTGCTGAGAAACCGAGGTTCAGGAAGATAACGACATTGTCCTGGTGCGAAAGGCGAGGGTCTTCTCAGTCTAACACATTTTTGTCATCTAAGCCCTGGACGCTCAGGACCCACAGCCTTCTGAACGTTGCGCCTCCCCAACGACCCGGACACCCCAGTAGGCCTACAAAGATGCTCCCAGCCCCAGGAATACCTCAAACATGCTCTCTCTCCTACGCTGTCACTGGCCAGCAACCAGTGAGGATTGGTAGTTCGAGCCGCGAGTGCAGTTTCATCACAGGTCACGCTTCCCGGTCTCCATGGCAATAACTAAACGACACCGCGAGGGACTCTGGGAATTGGAGTCCCGGTCGACTGGTTTACCACCCCCGGTGTCCGGGCGTGGCTGGATGTTCAGTGGAAGACCAAGGCGGCACTAACGGATCTAGCGCTGGTGAGAGAGGATCTCCAGTTATCTACGAGGCAGGAGTCTAAGCCCCAAAGTTCAAAAGCCGCGTCTGACCAGGGTTCACTTTCAGCTGAGAGCCTGTGTTCTGGAGAGTGTAGTGTGCACTGGGTGGAAACCCCACTTTTGCCTCCTGATGGGAAGAATGTTCCAGGCAGAGGATTCAGCTTGTACAACGGGTTAAAGGTCAGCCTGAAATGATGGTATTTGGGAAACCTGAATCCCTTTCCTCAGCTGGGACCAGAAAGCCCAGGGGGAGGATTCATACTAGGAATGGAGGCTAAAGAACTGAGCCTTTATTCTCTGATGAAGTGGGAGCTGGGGGATGAAAACGAAAGGAATGCGATCTGAGAAGAAGTGATGGGGTCAGGTGAAGGTGGAGTTGGGGATGGCGATACCAAGGAGGAAATGATTGAAAGAATGGAGGCAGCCTGAACAGCAGTGGTATAAAGAACATGGGAGTAGTCGGATTTTGAATCTCTTCTAAAGGAAGAGCCACTGGGGGAAGTTAGAGTCAGGAGGTTCAGGATGACTCCAAGGGTTGTGGCAAGAGTAGTTGGAAGAATAGAACCAGTGGGGATGTGGAAGAGAAAAGAGCAGCAGGTTGGTTTGGGACTTGTGTCTGAGATGCCCAGAAACATCTAAGTGGAGAAGTGACAAAGGCAAATGGACACACAGGTCTGGAGTTCTGACAGAGCCTAGGCTGGACCAGGGTAAGGGCTGGGAACCATAGTAACATAAGGGCCAAGAGGGGAGACTGGAGGGCTGCACAGAAGGGATGGGTTCCAGAATGAAGTTGTTGTTGTTGTCAGGTGCCATCGAGTCAGAACCGACTCCTAGCGCCCCATGCACAGCAGAATGAAACAATGTCCGATCCTGGGCCAACCTCACTACCGCCGTCACACTTGATGCCATCAATGATGTCACCTGGCTGATCCATCTCGTTGGGGGTCTTCCTCTTTTTCTCTGACCCTCCACCTTACCCAGCATGACATCCTTCTCCAACGATTGTTTCCTCCGGACAATATGTCCAAAGTATGAGAGACGAAGCTTAGCCATCTTGGCCTCCAAGGAGCACTCTGGTTGTACTTTTTCCAAAACGCAACTATTGGTTCTTTTGGCAGTCCATGGGATTTTCCGTATTCTCCTCCAACACCACAACTCAAAGGCATCAATTCTTCTACGGTCTTCCTTATTCACTGTCCAGCTTTCACATTTATATGAGGTTATTGAAAATACCATGGCTTGGGTCAGGCGCACCTTAGTCCTCAAGCTGACATCTCTGCTCTTCAATACTTTAAAAAGTTCCTGTGCAGCAGATTTGCCCAGTGCAATACGTACGTCGTCTGATCTCTTGACTGCTGCTTCCGAGAGTGTTGATAGTTGATCCAAGAAGAATGAAGTCCTTGACAACCTCAATCTCTTCTCCATTGATAAGAATGCTGTCTATTGGTCCAGTGGTGAGGATTTTTGTTTTCTTTACATTGAGTTGTAATCCAGAATGAAGAGGTCATGTGATTTGATGAGGATCTGGCAGGTGGTTGGGGAGGGGTGTGTGCGCAGAACCTGAGGGGCGCTTGTCTTAGACCCAAGACCTGGGTGGGTGGGAGGGGGTAAAGTCCACAGATGTTGTTGGATGGAAGGCCGGGTCCCCCAGAAACACGACCATGTAGCTTCAGCAAGCCTGTGGACACTCCCTTGTGGTGACCCTGCACGGGGTCAGTTGTGAAAGGGTCTGGAGGTGGGAGAGGACAGTGGGAGGTGAACTTGTTGGAAGTGCTGGGTTTTACAGAATTGGGGAGTCAGAAGAGCAAAAAGGGCCCAATGACACCAGGCTCTGTGACAGCATGTATAAAACGCACAAGCCCCATAGAGGCATCTATGCTGACCACAAGATCAGCAGTTCGAAACTACCAGCTGCTCCGCGGGGTGGAGGCTTTCTGCTCCCGTTAAGATTTACAGCCTCGGAAACTCTGTAAAGGGTTATTATGACTCGGAACCGACTCCACCACCACCATAGTACTGCAGGGCTGAAGGGTGAAACCGGTTGGTTGGGTCGTGATTGGCAGGTGGCCTGGGGGCTGCTTCCAGCAATGGTTTGGTAATCCTGATCGCCTTTCGCGCAGAAATCTGGCCGCCGTGCTTTAAGAAGAAACTAAATCCTGTCTGTGGCGCTCTTAGTCTGACGACACCAGTTCTCAATGCTCCTCACGGTGTGGCTTGGACGTTGCCATGGAAAACATGTAGGGTTGGCCGGATGCTAAGCAGAAACTACATTACCCAGGAGATTTTGCAGCTCCGGCGGGCGCTGAGCCAATGATGGCCTAGGAAAGACATGTCCTGCGGGTTGTATCGCCGGGGGCGGGACTTCCGCGTCCCCACTGTTGACATTCATTTTGCTCTTGAAGGGTCTTTGCACTGCGCCCTTGGGAGCCGGGACCATTTCCAGGCGCTGGACTGCAAGGTCAGATTGAACCGCAAAGTGGGTGGTTCAAGCTCGCCAGCCGCCGTCGGGAACCCTATACAGGGTCACTATGAGTGGGAACCGACTCGACGGCACTTAACAACTTCAGAACCAAGCCGGGAGTGACCGTGAGGATGGGACCCACCTCCGCACCTTTAAATGAACCATGACCGCCTGTAACGGGGGTGTCCCCGGGAGCCCCCAGCGTCTCCACACTCTCGTGTCCCTGCAGTCCCCGGCGGCGGTGTTTGCGCTTCGGGGCCATTATACTTGGTGGAGCCTGAGGTATAGCAAGAGACAGTCGGTCTGCTGTCACCGTCCCAGGGCAGGGACACGGGTGGGAGTGACTGAGCCGGCTGCACTCACCCGGGCCGCCGCCTCTCGCGGCTCCACATCGCCTCCAGGCTCACACAGCGGCTGCACTCATGGACCCGGCTCGGGTGAGTGAAGGGTGCCTCAGGTCCTTCCTTACTCACTAGGACCTCCACCCACCCATAGGGACTCTTCTCCCCACCCACCTACTGGGGACCCTGGTATGACTCCAGGCCCATGAGGTTGTATTCCACCTAGAGGTTATGGAGGGGATGTGTGTGCCTGTTTCTAGAATACAATGGAATGATGTGTGAGAATTTCATACGTGTAGATCAGGATGTGCAAAGGCTTGGAGATGAGACTGAGCCAGGAGTGTTCCGGGAGCTGCAGGTCTCCATAAATCTAGTGCAGGAAGTGGAGTCAGCCTCTATTCTGAGGGTGGTGGTTTAACCATGGAAGGTGTGGAGCACAGGAGGGAGGCGATCGGACTCAGGTCTCAAGTCTCCCTGTGGCTGCAGAGTGTGGGGATGTGAAGGAACAAGAGAGGCTGCTAAGGATGGCTCTGTGATGTCAGTGACGTCTTAGACCAGAATGCTAAGGATGGCTCTGTGATGTCA